AGCCCGCGAGGCGCGGAGAGCGGGACGAGGGGCGCAGCGCGCACCCAGGTGAGGCGCAGGTGAGGGCCCGCGGGGCAGCTTCCGGCCGCCCCGGCGCCCCGCGTCCTCCGAGCTCGGCCGAGGGCCTGGCCCTCCCGCGGAAGGGCAGTCTCGCCCTGCGCCCGGCGTAGCTTCCGGGAGGGTCACCGGGCGCCCGGCCGGCCCCTGGCCCCTAATCCCCGGATTCCAGACACGACCGCAGGGGCGCAGACCCGAGTGGAGGCCTGTCCCCTTCCCCGAGGGCCGTGCTCGCACTCCCCTGGCTGTGGACCAGGTCGCAGCCCCGGGCGCAGGGATCCCTCTGACAGGCAGTGGCCGGGATCAGCGCCCCCAGGCAGGGGAGTCCCCGGTGCTCGGGTGAAAGAGCAGGCAAGGTCGGCTTCGAGGGCCCCTCCTGGCTTCCCGTCCCCCGGGCACACACGGCGGCCCCGCAGCTTTGCTTGGGAGACCTTGCTGCAACGTCGTGAGGTCTGAATTTCTAGCCCACGCCCACTTCAGGTTGTCCCAAGTGGGCCCTACCCCTGCCCGGCTTTTGCCGCCCTAACCCCAGGGGTAAGGACAGGAGCTGAACCCCGCCTTTGTGACTGAGAAATGGCGGGCATTGCCTGCGGGAACTGGACCGTAAGGATACGTGTAAGCCAGGTTTCCTCTGTCCTGGAGGTGGGCGTCCAGACTGATGTCAGGTGCCCTCCACCGCTTTTCAAATTCTGGTACCACGTGGCTTTGGGGCATGCGGTGGGTGTCCTCAGAGCCACCCCGGAGACCTGGTCCCTGGCTCTCAGCGCAGGCCGGCCGTTTTTCGAAGCCCAGCCCACGGGCTTCAGCTCTCAGTTCTCTCCAAGCGCAGTTCAGGCGAGTTTTCTAGCGTGATTCATCTGCGCAGTTGATTGTTTTAAAGCCACAGGCTGTTGCTGGAGACACCCTCTGAATTTCAGCCTCCTCCTTGCGCTGGGAGGAGGTAATTTGACAGTTCAGGAAACGGGTCCTTAGGAGCGCGGCTCCGGCTCCAGCCAGGTGAGCGTGGTGAGCTCAGTAAACACGGTTAGCAGAGGCCGGTGTTCTCTCCCCCGTGCTCTCTGGCACAGCAGCCTGGGGCGTTTGGGCCCCTTCCTGGGCCCACTCTTTAAGACAGTGCTGCCGTTTAAGGAGTTAATACTCTTGGTTTAGACTCTTCGTGGCCTTAGGCCTACGCTAACATCTTGTAATCCCTGTAATTTTGATTAGTGACCACAGCCAGGCGGGCACAGGCCCCCAGCAAATGCAAGAGCCCTCTGCCCACCCCACCACCACCCCCGCCCATTCCCATTGCTGGTTCCCACTGCTCTGTGACTGTTTTGCTATGAAGGAGATCGTGGGGTGCCGTGGGTGCCAGGACTGAGAACGGGTGGACAGCGTCACGCCCTTCCGACGTCACCATCCTACGGTATCGACCTGTGGCGGGGCGGTCGTAAACGAGTTGTGACTGACTGCATTCGAACTCTATATTTTAGACTTCTTCCACAATTTAAGTTTGAGACCTTAAGTTGATGTATTTTGTTTGCAAAAAATTAAAGAATGTCATTTACCAGCTGTAGCCTCAGCCTCTGACTTAGATGTGTCTTCTCCAGAGTCCGTGGAGGAGGCGGGCCAAGGTCGCCACGCGAGGCGGGCGGAGCCATGAGGATCTCGCGCCTGCGGCTTTGTGCCGGCGTCGGCTGCCGTGTCGTCACGCACAGCCTGGGCTGGAAGGGCGTGTCAGGTACAAGAAAGGCTTGGACATGGTCGTGTCACTTACCAAGCACCGATCGGTAACAGCAAGTGCCTCGCTTCCGAATCCCTCGCACCCTCCGGTTGATCACTGGTCCCACCTGTTGGGCACATGTGCTCAGGTGGCCGGGCCACACTCTCCTGGGAGGACTGTGGTGTGTAAACGAGAGTATGTGCTCGTCAGAGAGGACACTTGCAGAGGGGAAGCATCTGTGGGAAGCAAAGCAAATCCACAGGGCCAGGCCATCCCTGAGGTCCCCAGGGTGGGACAGCCTTGCCTGGCACCGTTTTGGGGGTAGAACTCAATTTCTTGTTTCTATAAATGCTGCCGAGCCATCCTCATCCATCTCGGCAGCTTTGTGGTCCACATCTGGGGTCGCGAGAGGTCAGAGGAACATGTTAAGAACTGAGCGTTACCTGGAACGTCGTGTTTTCTAACCGACCGTTTGCAGTCCGCATTACGGACCTTGGTGTGCAGGCTGTTTGCCCCTGGTCGTCGGTGTTCCCAGGACTGGCCCAGCAGTTCTGCTGACATCCGCATTACGGACCTTGGTGTGCAGGCTGTTTGCCGGCTGGTCGTCGGTGTTCCCAGGACCGGCCCAGCAGTTCTGCTGACGAAGCCACCTGTCATCCGAGACGCAGACCCGTGGGGTAGCCACACAGGGTAAAACACAGTTGTGTTTGGGGCAACTTTTATGCTAAGTGGCCCCCAAATAGCAACGTGGCTACATGAGTGCGTCTGGCAAACACATAGTGACGTTTCTGAATGAAAAGTGACGCTTGGAAGCTGTTTGGGGAGGTCGTGGGCAAGTGGCTCATCCTAGTGTTTCCTTTCAGGAGCCCGCTGTTCCCGTCCAGAATGAACCGGGCCCCGAGGGCCCCTAACTGACGCAGGGTCAGAATGCGTCTCCTCTCTGACCTGTGGAGAAGCGCCAGCGGCCGCTACCGCGTTGGCACCTCAGGGCGACTCTGAGGTAGGTGAGGCCTGCTGGCTTGCAGAGACGTGGGGGCCCCCCAGCCGGAGCGGGGGACAGGCGAGGACACGGGTGCTCCCGTGGGCGCGGGCGGGCGCTGTCCAGGTGTTTCATCCGTCTTCACGGCGGTCCCCATCCCAGCCCCGGACACCGAGGCCCGTGAAGTTTGCGGGCTGGATGCCGACCGCCTGCCATCCTCTTGGCACGGTTGCCGTCACCACTGTGCTCTCTCCGCCCCCAGGATGTGACTCAGGCGCACACACCGCTCGCCGCCACAGGCCCTGCTGTCGCTAGGATGTTCCTGGTGAACGCCCCTCCTGTGCTCGCGCTCCAGTCCCGGTGGGACGCCCTCGGCCCGCCGGGGACCTTCAGGCTTCCCGGCTGCTTCTCGGAGCCGACGGAGAGCGCGGGGGGTGCGGCGGTGAGCGCCCAGGTGCAGATGCTCATCGGCTCGCTGCAGAG